GGCTTCCCAGAAAGCCCCCTCTACTCTGCTCTTATAATGCCCCACCTGGAGTGCTGTGTCCAGTTCTGGAGCCCCCAACACAAGAGAGACAGGGACTTGTTAGGACGAGTCCAGAGGAGGCCACGAGGATGATGCGAGGGCTGGAGCAGCTCTGCTGTGAGGACAGGCTGAGAGAGTTGGGGCTGTTTAGCCTGGAGAAAAGAAGGCTCCAGGGAGATCTTATAGCGGCCTCCCAGTACCTGAAGGGGCCCTACAGGAAAGCTGGGGAGGGACTTTTGACAAGGGCGGGTAGTAGCAGAACAAGGGGTGATGGCTACAAGGGGAGACCGAAATTAGACATTAGGAAGAAATTCTTTGGTGTGAGGGTGGTGAGACAGTGTCCCAGGTTGGCCAGAGAAGCTGTGTCTGCTCCTCCCTGGAAGTGTTCAAGGTCAGGTTGGATGAGGCTTTGAGCAACCTGGTCTAGTGGAAGGTGTCCCTGCTGATGGCAGGGGAGTTGGAACTGGATGAGCTTTAAGGTCCCTTCCAACCCAAACCAGTCTGGGATTCTATGATCTACGTTTAAGGTGCTTGTCTACCCTTACGCAGTAAGGGACAGGCTCTTCTTGAAGGTAAGTCATATGAGGATCCTGACTTTAGTTGATGTCATCAGCCTGAGAGGAGCTTCCCACTCCAATAATGGCAAACTGAGCCTAGGGAGTTTACCTGCTTCCTTTGTGAATATCTTCCTTTGTTATCTAGTCCCTAATATTAACTGTGCACCTTATTTGGGCATCACTACTAATCACTGAGCCTAGGGAGTTTACCTGCTTCCTTTGAGAATATCTTCCTTTGTTATTTAGTCCCTAATATTAATTAACTGTGCGCCTTATTTTGGCATCACTACTAATGCCTCAAAATGCCAAGAAAAACAGACCAGTAAATGAAAGAGTAAATGGTGGGTTGAGAAGTGTTCACTCCTTTTATTCACGAGGCACTTCTGATGTTATAAAATACCAGGATTTTTCAAACTCCCCTGTAATCTTATCGGGGAAGACTTTCAAATGAAGCTGAATTAAATCAAGCTCATGAGCCATGTGGCTGTGGTTTAGAAGACAGCTGAGTTCATTCATTCTAGAGTTTTGGCTGTGGCCCTACTCTAGTTTTATTGCCTTCATCAGATTGCCACTTTTCCCTGCTGCAGGCAACAACTGCTTCATTTACTCAGCAGGGCTTCCATTTCCAAACAAGATCCAGCCTCTAAGCAGAACAAACTGTTCTAGCAATCACCCTAGAACTTAGCAGATGTAGACCACTTGCTACCAGTTCTGGTTTCTTGATGAAGCATTTCCTTTTATTGTTTCTCAAGGGATGCTTTCCATGGTTTAACCCCTAATGCTCTACTTTTCTTCTCCCTTGTTTATCACTGCTTCAAGAATCAAGTCCATAGTTATGAAATAATGAAGGATTCAGGGTTACATACGTACCTGTTCCACAAGTACGGAACGAGTTCTCTAAAGCTAAGATAATTCATTAACACTATATGCCTTATTCATTATAATAATCTAATTTGGAAAGCCTTTTCATGGGTAAACAGACCTGAGAAACAGATGAGAGACTACACATTTGCTAACATATTCATGCAGATGAGCCTCACACAATAAGAAAACAGGGCCAGCCTGCTGAGGCTAGTTTGTAGACTACCACAGACACATCAGATCTGGAAACAAAACCCACTGATTGCGACAGCGTGTGCTGTGCATATGGTGGAAATGCTCATCTTTTACGTAGAGAGTTTTCAAGTATGGAAAACAATCTCCTGGTTTTGTAGAGGTTGGGCTTGGTTGGGTTTTTTTAATAAAGCTGACTTATTCATTAAACTTTTGTGATTAAACAGTAAACGTAACTTCTTCCTCTTTGATTGTTGCAAATTCTTGATTTTCTAATATAAGAACTGTCCCCTTTTCTCTAAACTTCTCTCAGACTGAGGATCAGTTATATCATTATTTGTGCTGTCTGATATCTTTTTTAACTGTATGAAGCCATATACCCAGAATGTCATACCTATAATTTTACAGATAGTGACCTGTCTTTCCAGGAGCCTCCGTTCTCATTCTCTGGATGCCATTTCTCTCACTGTGGACATTGTAAAATATTGTTTGCCTGCTACAAATAGCCATAATTTTAACATAAGCAAGGCTGAATAGCTGAAGAAACAAGGAAGGATGAGAAGACAGTTGTGGGGAAGGGGAACAGCAGGATAGAAACGTTGAGAACACCTGTCTCAGAATTGACAACTGAAGCTTTCTAGAGTCAATGGCATTTGCACTTCATTCAAAGCAAAATTTCGGCACTCTCTCCATCCGACCATACTTAGGATCCCACAGCTGAACTTGTTAATGAAATTCTCTCTCACAGTTAAAAATAAAAACCCCCAAAATACTGAATATGAATGTGGAAGAAAGGCAATTTGATGTTTGTAATTATCGAGGTAAACTCTACGACCTGCTGAATGTATGCAAAATGGACCTTGGATGGTGTATATAAAAGTGGCATGTGCAGAGAATAAGAGCAACTATTGAGACTTCTTTCTGGTAGAGTAAGTCACCAAACAGGATCCCTACCATGAGCAACAAGGAGACTTCACTGAAAGGTAAGACTTTTGCCATTTACTTGCTGATAAATTTTATATTTCTTTAAATTTAAACTGAATTAGGAAATAACTGAAATGTAACAACTCTAGAAACTGAGGTCTTCCAGCAACTTAGTCTTCCAGTAATGGTGAAACCTGCCTCCACCTCAGATGTTTAGTGTCCAAAGCTTGGAATTAGAAGGCAGCTTCATCTCTTTTTTTACTCAGTCTTTTGTCTCCTAAGACTACTTTTGCACCAAGCATTGTCACAGAAAATTGGCTTGAGGGATGTGACACTTCCAGTCTGCTTTGCTACACCACTCAGAAGGTAATGACCAAAAGTCATTATCTACAAGTCTAGAAGAGATGTAATGATACTGAAGCAAATGTTTTCATAACCATCTTCAACTTTCTAAGCCAACAAGTCTCAGGTTTTCTTATTCGTAGAATTATTCCCCAGAGTACTTTCCTAACTGCAGCATGCGGCACGTACCTTGTTCCTGGTGGAGGAGGAAGGATTACTTCAATATTGTAAAAGCACTTTTCTTGAATTTAGAGCTAGAAAGAAACTTATCACATGATAACACGATAACATTAGGGACAGATCTGCTGATTCATGGAATATGCTTTAATTTACCACTTAAGTCTAATGAACCAATAGAGGTAGCAGGCCAATTTCCAAAATTAAAACTCTTAGAGCACAGAACAGTGCTCTTTGAATAAGTACATTCATTTACCAAATATTTGCTTTTATTTTTTCCCACTGTTTTTTCTGTGCATATTTTATTTCACAGAATAGAAAACTTGACTTTGTTAAGTTAATATTAAAAGTTTTAAAACAGATGAGGTTTTGTGTTTTAGATGATGCAAAGTCCTCCATATCAGTCTCAGAAGCTCAGGAGAACAGACAGAAGTTCTCTCTGATTTCTTAGCAGTAGGCAATTTAGGGTTAAACTCTAAACAGCAAAGCAGCACAGCTGCTGGAAATCTTCTGAAGGAACTCCCAGGACAATCAAAACCTTAAGAGAGTGACCTAACCACCCTCCCACAAAATTAATTTAAACTCCAAATGTTTGCAAAGAAGAAAGAGACCTGTGGGAGTAGGAGGAGAAGGGAAAAAAAAAAAAAAGACAAGACCAGTCTATTTTCCACACTTATATATCTGTGCAAACATAATTATGTATTTGCACTGTGAAGAAGTTTGATTTTTTTTCTTCCATTTATCACTATGTAATAAAGTCAGGCACAATAGTAAGAGACTTTGGAATATAGTGTACACTGCAACACAGGTTACCTTGCCTCCTCAAACTCTGTAGCAGGCTCTGGATAACGCAGGGGAGAAAGGATAACAGAATTACAGTGCTTCCCTCCTCCATTTATTTTCAGCAACCAGTACAGGGGGTACTCTGAGCTACATGACAGCCCGGTCAAAATCACCCCGAATCTGGCTCTGACAGCTACTTCTAAATGCACACAAGTCAATGTGATTCCATTTCGGTTTGTTTGAATCCTCAACAGGTTTGTTGCTGGTGGTCCTTCTGGTGTCCAGCATGCTCCTGAAAAAGGAAGGAGTGACCTCCTTGCCAATCTGCCCCAATGGATCTGTCAATTGCCAAGTTTCCCTCGAGGAACTTTTTGATCGAGCAGTTAAACTTTCACACTACATCCACTTCCTCTCTTCGCAAATATTCAATGAATTTGTAAGTAGGAATCTTACTGCCCTTTCCTGAGAGCAAGAAAATACAGAAATGCAATTTAATACTTTTTAAGCACAAACATATGTTAACATATGAAATCCTTCAATAAGTAAACAAATATGAATGCTGCACAGACAGTGATAGTCCCAATGGTGACCAAATCTGTGTATAGTGCTGACCATTGCTAAGATGCCCAACATTTCTATCTAAAGATACCATTTTCCCATCACTCTTTATCTGTAGGACAAGGTTGTGTTTACTGGGTGCCAGTTTCTGTCTAAAAACCCACCAGAAACTTTTAACCTTTAGAGCATAAAAGCAGTGATAAAAGCAATGGAACAACAATCAGTTAATACAGTGTTTGAATTGAAGCTCTTCTTACGTATGTGTTTCAATAACGCTTGTCCTTGCTGATGTGCAGGATGAACGCTATGCTCAGGGCCGGGGCTTCATTACAAAAGCTGTTAACGGCTGCCACACTTCCTCCTTGACCACTCCTGAAGATAAGGAGCAAGCTCAGCAGATTCATGTAAGTCCCATCTCTAATGTCATTCAGTGTGAGACAGAGGGAGGAGGGGAAGGGGGAAGGTTAACGAATAGAGAGGCAGCAGACAGAGAGAGGGGGAAATCTGCTCAATCAGAATAAAAAAGCCAGGAAGAGAAAAACAACAAAAAGCCAACAAAATTGATTCAGGATTTGCTGATACTAAGCTACAGATTATATAGAATATGTAAGTAGCAGTAACTTTCATCTGCCCTTCCTTTCCTGTATGTTACATTCAGTCATTGCACATTATTCCCAATTGCAACATCACCTCATGCGGTGATGCCAGTTACCATGCTCGTACCGTACTGAGATCACTACAACCTTTGAACGTTATCTTAAAACACCTTGTGAACAATTATTATATTAACAAACATAAAAATACATTGGCCATATAGTGAATACTGTACATAGGCAGAGGGAAATCGTTTTCCACTAACTGAAAACAGACTTTACTAAACAAAAGGCAGGAACAACCCCAGGTTCCAGTATAGG